GAAGAGCATTGTTCCGTTGTCTGAAACAATATGAAGTTGAAGTGACAGAATCGGGCCTTATATAGTGCCAGGAGGTGAGACGTAGGTTGATTTGGGAGGGCAGGTCCTTCTCAAACCCAGCCGTTCTCACTAGTAGAGGTTGTCGAAGTAGATGGTCTGTACCAAGATACCCTTGTGTTGCAGTGTCTGACAGAATGAACATTAAAATGGTATAAAATACCGACAGATTGTTAGGTAAGACACATATGCAACAGTTAGGTATCTTTATTTTGAAACGTTTCGCCTACACAGTAGGCTTCTTCAGTCGAGTACAGAAAAGTTGATAGAAGCAGAAGATACTTGAAGACGATGTAATCACCCTGGCACTATATAAGGCCCAATTCTGTCACTTCAACTTCATATTGTTTCAGACAACGGAACAATGCTCTTCTCCAGACTGAGGGACTGACCACCTCAAAACTTTAAGGGTGATGGACTGATTACATCGTCTTCAAGTATCTTCTGCTTCTATCAACTTTTCTGTACTCGACTGAAGAAGCCTACTGTGTAGGCGAAACGTTTCAAAATAAAGATACCTAACTGTTGCATATGTGTCTTACCTAACAATCTGTCGGTATTTTATACCATTTTAATGTTCATTCTGTCAGACACTGCAACACAAGGGTATCTTGGTACAGACCATCTACTTCGACAACCTCTACTAGTGAGAACGGCTGGGTTTGAGAAGGACCTGCCCTCCCAAATCAACCTACGTCTCACCTCCTGGCACTATATAAGGCCCGATTCTGTCACTTCAACTTCATATTGTTTCAGACAACGGAACAATGCTCTTCTCCAGACTGAGGGACTGACCACCTCAAAACTTTAAGGGTGATGGACTGATTACATCGTCTTCAAGTATCTTCTGCTTCTATCAACTTTTCTGTACTCGACTGAAGAAGCCTACTGTGTAGGCGAAACGTTTCAAAATAAAGATACCTAACTGTTGCATATGTGTCTTACCTAACAATCTGTCGGTATTTTATACCATTTTAATGTTCACCAACAGGGGAAAACTGGGAGAGTAACATCTGAAGCTCACCCTGATTACCCCTGAGGCTGCGTATATTCCACTGTAAATAGGTTATGATTGGCAATGATAAAGATACCTGAAATCCGCAGGTAAGAGTTCCTATGGACTAGAGGGGTTAGAAAAGTCCACATGCGGTGGCAGCGGAAAACGTTCAAGCAGTGAAGGAATGGTGCGCTGCGAAGAAAGGAGTTGCGCAGATGGAGGAGAGGAGAGAGAAGGAACGGAGGGTGGATCAGTGTCCATTGAGGGTTTGGTCTCTGCAATATATTCAGAGATTGCTTCAAGTGTTTCAGAATTCAGAGACGTCGTATGGGAGACAATATTGGAGATGGTAGGGGGAGGATGAGTAAAGATTGGAACTGTAATGGACTGTACCAAGGTAGGGGGGGGGGCAAAAGGGTGGAGGGAACTGGATAAGAAGCATGGAAGGGGACAGAAGAGGCAGAAACCTGGGAGGTGGCAGAAGAGGAAGAAACTTGGGAGGGAACAGGGAAGGAAGGTACAGTACAAGGAGGAGGGTGAACCTCTACACTTTTAACAGAGCCAGTGAGAGAAGAACCAGGTACAGAGACAGGGAAGGTAAAATGAGGAGGTGGAAGAAGGGAAGGAGGGGTTAAAGGACCTTTTTTTGACTTCTGAGAAGTAGAGGGACGATTGGGAGGAGGTGTCGTACGAGATCTCGTCGATACCGAAGCTTGTGAGGGAGAACACGAAGAAGCGAGAACAGACTGAGGCGTTGAAGTAGGGACGTCTGAGCCCAGGACAGCAAAAGAATTAGATACAGGAGTGACTATGAGAGAGGTAACCACAGAGGAGGCTGCAGAATATGGGACCCCAGAAGTGGGGGGACGTTTTGAAACGCGGGAATAAGAAACACGAGGCGGAGATGAGAAACTGCCATGGCATAAGGGAGACCTTCTGCCTCTTTGAGGTAACAGATTTCCCGCTCATTTAAGTAGACGTGGCAACGGCGAGAGTACGAAGGGTGAGCCTCATGACAATTAAGGCAAGAGGGAGGTCGACTGCAAGACGTATTAGAATGGTTATCAGCAACACAGACTGGGCATTTGGCTATAGATCTGCAATATTTCGCTGGATGGCCAAATCGCCAGCAATTTCTACACTGTTGCGGTGTAGGGATCACCTTTCGAACTTGTAACCGATGTCCTGCTGCATAAACTGAGGATGGGAGTTCACGGCTGTCAAAAGTTAAACGAGCCACATTGCTAGGGTATCGTCTCCGCCCGCGGGCAGGAAGAACCTAAGTGTCTACCTTGAGGATTGGGAGATCTTGGAGTTCCAGCTGTTCAAGAATGTCATTGCCAAGTGAAGTGAAGAATTTAGTCCATTGTGCATTCTGAAACTGAGCGTAGAAAGGGAGTGCAGGACGTGTTGATCTTTTCTGAGAAGAATGAGAAGGTGGAGAAGTATCATCAGCAGGTAATTGTCGTTGGCATTTAGGAGTGGAACCAGAGTTGGTCCAACGTGAAACGAGCCGGCAATTCGAAAATTGCCGCACCGTAAAGGGAGAGGCTGGAAGCATAGTCAAAGGAGAGTGGAGGTCAGATAACTCGAAGGAGTCAAGTTGAGACCTCAGTACCTGAAGCGGGTGAGGAAACAGCACTGGCAAGAGGTACAGAGGCATTAGGAGTGTCCGAAGAGTGGTCCAAAGACGAGGTGGGGTCAGAACGGGGTGCGGTATCAAGAAGGGGCCCGGGGGTAGCAGGTTCATGGACTAGGGCTTCCATGGTTAGGTTACTTCTTTCTTTTTAAGAAAAAAAAAAGAAAGAAAAAAAAAAAAAAAAAAAAAAAGAATAAAAAAAAGGGGGGACTGGAGAGGGATAGTTCCTGGGAGGAATGAGAGGGCCAGAAATCTCCCTCCACACCCAAGAGAACCTCAGCACTGCAAGTAGTGCAGCTGCAGCATGGAACCCATGCCATACCCTACCCATCATGCCAGTAAACCAGCAATCCAGGATAGCAACCTCACATCTGCCGAGGTACCTCGATGGACAAAAGAGAGGGCGGCTGGATATCCGCCATAAAGCATACCTCCTTTGGTCACCACCCCCGGAATCAGAAAGGCAGCCTCCAGAGATACACCCGTCGCCCGAAAGATACCCAAAGCCACTCCCTGGGAAACCGGAAAGGGATTGGGACATCCCCAGGCGATCCAGATTCCACGGCAAACTACACCACCACCAAGAACCTCAACAGAATGGGATGGACCCCAGTATACCCTTACCCTTACCCAGGAACTAGCGGGCCTATGGGGAAAAAAAAAAAAAAAACCAAAGGGCAAAAAGAGGAAGGGTAATAGGGAGGGGTGGGGAGGGGGAGGAGGAGGAGGAAAAGAAAAAGAGAGGATGGGATAAGGGAGGGGGGACTGGGGGTAATTAGGTTCGGTCTGAGGAAGGAGACCAACAGGTCTAATTCCTCAGACCAAGAGCCTCTTCACCACGCCAAGGAGCCCCCCTTGAAGAGGAATACTTCCCAAAACAGTGCTAAGTCACAATGTGTAAGTGCAAGAGTACTTTAGGAACCAACACCTGCCTCACAATTAAAATGACATACTGTGGAATAGCCAAGAAGCATGCATAGAAACATTCAAATGAAGGCCATGGACTTGAGTCAGCAGCTAAAATTGGTGTCTCTTGTGTTAAGGAAGTTACAGATGTGGCACACTCGGTGATTATGTGCATGTGCCTCCTGATCTGTAAGATGCACCTGTGTGTTATATAATTACAAAATATTTTTTAAGAGTTAACTAGTGTGAGATACCTGCTCAACTAGTGACATCAAACACATTACATGTACACTGTACTTCCCACCTCCTCATTATTATTATTAAACACTTTCATTATCATTCAGTATTCCCACCGTTCCTTTAGTGCAGACACTGCACTTCCCACTTCCAGGACTATTCAGGCTAACTGGTTTCCTTGAATCCCTTCACAAAATGTTACCCTGCTCACACTCCAACAGCTCGTCTAGTCCAAAAAAACGTTTTCCTCCACTTACTCCTAGCATACACAAGCATGCTGAATGTCTAAGCCCCCTTGGACACAAAACCTCCTTTACCCTCCTCCCTCCAACCTTTTCTAGGGTGACCCCTACCCCATCTTCCCTCCACTACAGATTTATACACCCTCCAAGTCGTCCTTTTGTTCTCCATCCTTTCAACAATCCCTCCTCAGCCCTCTGGCTAATAATTTTAGTAATTCCACACCATCTTCTAATCTCCAGGCTATGAATTCTCTGCATAATATTTACACCACATATTGCCCTCAGACCTGACATCTCCACTGCCTCTAGCCACCTCCTGATATCAGCAAAAATTTTGGTGTCTTCCCATCTCTAATGACACCTCCAAAATTGACTGAGCTACACTTAGCAAAACTATATGATGACTAGAACATTAACTATGCAATTGTTATTCAGGCAATAATATTGGAGGGCACCTGCAAATGCTAGTGATACATCATTTGCTACTCCTGGTTCTACAGGCAACCTCCAGCAATGTTTCCATCATCATAGGACATGCCAGATGGTCTCCTGGTGTCACCAAAGGCTATCTAGCATGTCCTGGTATAATCCAATTACCACCTGTTGAGCTGAAACTACCAATGAAGGAAGTGTTATAGGGCAGATAATTTCTCTTTTTCTTCACCCTAGAAGCTGAATGTCACATGGAAAAACTTCCCCACTTATGAGGCCAAATGGAGAGGTGGAGAGAGGACTGTGAGGTATACAGAGTTGGTCTGAGAAAGGCAACAAGAGGTCCAATTCTTCAGCACAAGCTCCTCGCCATATCAAGGGACCTTCCTTAAAGGATATAAGCATCATAAAAAATCCGAGCAAAAACAAACCAAAAGTATTATTTGAATTTGACACTGTTACCATGAAGAATTAGGAAGAGACAAATTCAAAACATTCCTAACTTTTATTGTTTAGAGTATTTCATATAAATTGAATCCCAGAAGACTGAAACATTATAACATATTCCAACCACCTCATCATTCTTACAATGGTATAAAATGAATTAGTATTGAGGTAATTTAAAAGATACTTTATTTTTCAGCTTCCTGTAATACAGAAAGCGGAATACTTTTAAAGCAATGTTAATCTAACCTGAGAAGTGAAACTGAAAACTGAAAATATATCATACGCTTTGGTGGTTTTAAGAAAACAACAAAATATAGGATACTTAAAATATACTCTTCAAGAAGTTTTAGCTGTAACAAATATGACCATAATAAATATATCATGTTAACCCATAAAATAACTTGCTGAATATTTTAGATTCACTATTCCTAAATACTGTATAACAAAGAAGGCCATGAGCAAAAATTTTATTATAAAAAAATATTCCCTAATAAGATGTGTTATTTTTGGATTAACTTTTTGGTCTTTAATGACTAGGCCAGATTAGTCATATCTGTTTCTCTAAAGGGACAAAATGAACACATTAAGTAGAGGCATTGTTCAATTGCAGGATATATAATCAGTCATTCCTTTTTTTTTATTGCAGTTTTTTGAAGAGATTTTGCTATTTTTATGTATTTTTATCTTCCTTGCTAATATAGCTTTTTGAAGGCTTTAATCTGGCTACATACCAGAGAACCATTCAAGCCTAAGCAATTTACATGGCAACTTGTCTACACAGACCACTCAGAGCACTGGCAAAAGATATTTTCCCAAAGACTGAATTGGAAACTCCTAGTTAAGGAGCTAGTCTTGGGTGAATGCAGTACCAATGACCAATTTAACATACATTTCATAGAATACAGCTCTAAAGAGAGTTGAACCATGGTTTCTCATAATAGATAAACAAACACATTAGATAAATTATCTTTCCTACAGGAAAAATCTGACATTAAAGCTATTCAACAAATCATCATATATTCTCTTGAAATGTGTTTTTTATGTACTTGACAGAAAACACTGGTTAAAAAAAAAGAAGAGAGAAATAACAGAAAATGGCTATAAATCTTTCCAAAACAGAGATACACACTGGAGATTCACATAGTACGCAATATAATGTAATTCATTAAGAGCATCACTCTTAATTTAACAGTATGAAATAAAAAGATGGAAAAGGACACCTAAGCAGAATAATGCATTCCTTTACTCACAATGTTTTGCCCAGACAGCAGGTTTTATCAAGTCACAGACAAATCTGTTTGTGACTTAACATTTCACTCACTCAGTGGACTTTGTCAATAAGGGACTGTATTATATTGCTTGTGCTTTTTTCAACATAAACTGTGCTGTATCTCTAATATATTTAGCTAATAGCACTGCCTTCAAAAGTAATGATAGACAATTATAGATTACATTAGTCATTATAGGGCACCTGGAATATCAGTATCTGATGCCATAAAGCAGACATACAATATATGTATGTAGTAAATAAGATATAAAAATATACTGGATTCCTTATTTCACTATCCTAAGTTACAGAATAAAGCTCTCAGATTAATCACGTCAGTTCTTAAGAGTATCACATAATAATGATAGCATAAACAAACTTGCAAGCACCATTCCTTTTATTACATAGACCACTGCATAGAAAACGGCCTGCAAAAATTTAAGCATGCACCATACAAGGAGCTAAAAAGTCAATATTTTCAACATTTTGCTTTTTTCACAGCTCGGCCTTCATCTAAAAGAATTTGGTCAATGTAAATATCCAGTTTCTCATCTGTAGTATTGATGAGTTGTAAGGAGAGTACAACACAAGACTCACTGTCTTCTTCAACCTCCATGACCAAAGACACAAACTCCCGCAGTTCAACTAAATCCTGGAAACGACGGGAATCTTCAATGCTCCAGTCCACATTGACAGGAACTATACCTGACAGGAAAAAAAAAAAACAGCATCAAGCTATGTTATCCTATTCTTGTTGTGGAGATCCACCATCACAAAACTTAAATCCTACTTAACAGAGCTCCAAAACTTTTAACCCTTTCAGGGTCCAGCGGCCAAATTTCTAAGTGAGCACCAGTGTCCAAGAATTTTCAAAAAATAATTTTTTTATGAAATGGTAGAGAATCTTTTTCTGAAGGTAATAAAACAAAAAGTATGAAATTTGATGTAAAATTGATGACATTATGCTCTCGCAAATTTTGATGTGTCAGCGATACTTACGCATTGGCGATTTTGCTGACTTTGACTCCAATTTTAGGCCAATTATCTTATTCCAGTCAACGAAATTCTTAGCTATTTCACTAGTATTACTTCTATTCTATCGACTGAGCACAAGAAATTGCCAACTCAACTTTTTTAATTACAAAATAAAGTGATTGGAAATTGGTAATTTGGCCAATTTAGTGCAAAGTTCAAAATATTCCAATTTCAAAATAGGGTCCAGAATAAACAATGCAGGCATTCCTGGCACTAAACTAACATTTCCTCTGTTCATTAGTTATGTTTTCAGGATTTACAAATGAATTACATTTTGATTTTTAATTCACATAATGAATTTTTATTCAAACCAAAAAATAGATTTACTGTCATGCAATATTGTAATAATTGTATAATATCAGCACATGTGTTAATGTATATTAGACCCACCAGCTGGCGTGTATTAGACGTGTGAGGTCACTTGTTTACTCTTGAACATCGGCAAAAATTTAACATTTCCGCTACTTTGAGCTCAGTTTCAAGCCATTTGCAGTACTAAAACCAATCAAAATCATCTCTGTTTCTGTAATATATCTTCCCTTCTATCAAATGAGATCAAGAAATCGCAATACAACTGTAAAAAACATACGAAAAAACACTGCAAAGTTGCTGTTTTAATTGAAAATTACGGTCTCAGTTTTCTTTCTCTCATTATGCACTGTGTGCTGCAGGATTTGTTTTATGTGGTGCACACATACCACATAGATGTATTCTCTCATATCTAGGCCCAAATTTACCACTCACAGCTTATCAGAGTGAGCTGAGCTCATGGCATAGAACTATGGTTTGGACCCTCAACGTAAAGCCGTAGATCTACTGCACGGACCCTGAAAAGGTTAAAGTTCGATACTAAATTATACTCAAGATTCACAAACAAGCCATGTTACACTGCTGATACTTTAAATTACTAAAGAATTCATAGATAATAGCATAGCATTATTTACATTTAACAATACTTTTGTTCCAGATATAAGTGTGAGCACAACTAAAATCCTAACACCAACATTTCTTGGCCACATCATGGTAAACAAAGAGGAACTCATTTCACCTACAACAAATAACATTTACCACGAATGTATTTATACAGTAAACACTGAGAAAAATAATTATGAAATAATGTAAAATTAGAATGGGTTAGCTGTGTACACACAGCTGGCACGCACATGCGTGCAAGCGAGTGGATGAGTGTAAGCATGTGGGTGTGTGAGCACGTGGGTATGTGAGCACGCGAGTGTGAGAGCACGTGAGTGTGAGAGCATGTGTATGTGAGACAGTATGTGAGTGTTTATGTGAAAGAGTGAGAGTGAGTGACTATGCGAGAATGAGAAAATGTGTGAGAGTATGTGTGAGAATGAGTGTGCGCACTGACTTTTACTCACCTATTTGTGGTTGCAGGGGTCAATTCTGCGATCCAAGCCCTGCTTCTTAACCCTTTCACTGTCAGTGCTGTAATATTATGGCTTGCAATCCAGTGTTGGTGCCATTATATTATGCCAAAATTCTAGCAGCTTCCAATCTTTCAGAAGAAAGTTGGTAGGTCTACATATGAGAAAATGGGTCTGAGTGGTCAGTGTGCACAGTATAAAAAAAAATCCTGCAGCATGCAGTGCATGAGAAAAAAAAAAACACCGACCATGTTTTTGGTTTAAAACACCAACTTTGTGATGTATTTTCGTATGGTATTCATGGGTGTATTCTCGTTTTCTTGGTCTCATTTGATAGAATGGAAGATGTATTACAGAAACAGAGATGATTTTGAATGGTTTACAGAATAAAAGTACATACATGGACCTTGAAATTGAGCTCAAAGTAGCAAAAATGTTCGATTTTTGCAGATGTTCAAGAGTAAACAAATGATATCACCATCCAATACGTGTCCAACTGGCCAATCTAATGAGCAGTCACGAATGGGTTGACATAATTTATACAATAATTACAATAATACAGTAGTCTGCTTAACCCTTTCAGGTTTCAGACGTACTAGTACGGCTTATGCACCAGGGTTTTTAACGTACTAGTACGCCTAAAGTGTGCGCAGTATAAAAAAAATTCTGTAGCACACAGTGCGTAATGAGGAAAAAAAAACTTTGACTGTGTTTTTGGTTTAAAACAGCGACTTTGCATTGTATTTTTGTATGGTATTTATTGTTGTATTCTAGTTTTCCTGGTCTCATTTTATAGAATGGAAGACATATTACAGAAACTGAGATGATTTTGACTGGTTTTACAATGAAAAGTACCTTGAAATTGAGCTCAAAGTAGCAGAAATGTTCGATTTTTACCAAAGTTCAAAAGTAAACAAATCATGCTAAACGTCCAATACGCGTCAACTGGCGAGAGTAATATTCTTTCACAAGTGCGCCGATATTATTTATACCATTTCTACACTAGTGCAGTAATTTGCATAACAGTAAATCTTCTATTTTTTGTGAGAATAAAAATTCAAAGTGGAAAGCAAAAGAATGTAAGAGGGGCGTGGGGACGTGACTAATGAACAGAGGAAATGTTATTTTAGTGCCAGGAATGTCTTTCTTGTTTATTCTGGGCCCTATTTGGAAATTGGCATCTTTTGAAATTTGTGTGAGATTGGCAAAATTGCTAAATTCTGACCACTGTATTGGATAGCTGAAATCGGTAAATGGGTGGTTTCTTGTACTCATTCGATAGAAAAAATGGAGTTCTAGCAAAATAGTTATGATTTTTGTCAACTAGTACACAGGAATTGGCCGAAAATAGGGCTCAAAGTGGGCAAAATCACCAATGAGTAAACATCGTCGAGACCGCTAACTTCGCGAGAGCATAATTCCTAAGTTTTCCATCAAATTTCATACTTTTGGTGTTATTATGATCGGGAAAAGATTCTCTATCTTTTCATAAGAAAAAATAATTTTTTTTTTAAATTTGGGCGACCCTGAGAACAAGTCTGGGAGAGGGCCTGGGGCCTCTGAAAGGGTTAACAGTAAATCTTCTATTTTTTGAGTGAATAAAAATTCAAAATGGAAAGCAAGAGTAATATAAGAGGGGCCTGAGATGTGACTAATGAACAGAGAAAATGTTATTTTAGTGCTAGGAATGTTTGTATTGTTAATTCTGGATCCTATTTTGAAATTGGCCTTACTTAAATTGCGTATGAAATTAGCCAAATTACCAATTTCTGATCACTTTATTGGGTAGCTGAAATGGGTAAACAAATGGTTTCTTGTACTCAATCTATAAAACAGATGGAGCTCAAAGTGGGCGATATTGCCGATGCATAAATATTGCCAAGATCACTAACTTCACGAGTGCGTAATTCCTAAGTTTTCCATCAAATTTTGTACTTTTGGTGTAATTACCAATGGGAAAAGGCTCTCTATCATTTCATAAGAAATCGTCTTTTTTTTTTTTTTAATTTTTCGACACCGAGAGCAAGTTTGTGAGCAGGGATCTCGACAGTGAAAGGGCTAACTCCCTCCCTCATGAGCCCTATCATACGTGCTCTTAACCCTTTCAGGGTTGTGAGCCCTGCTCTCCCTCCCTTATGGGTCCTATCGTACCTCTCTTAACCCTTTCAGGTTTGAAAAAAACAAAAATTCTTGTGAAATGGTAGAAAATATTTTTCTGAAGATAATAAAACAAAAAATAAAAAAAAATTGATGGAAAAACTGACGAAATTATGCTTTTGCAAATTTTGCCGCATCCACGATATCTACGCATCAGCGATTTCCTCCAATTTGAGACCGATTTTTGACCAATTACATTGTCCCAGCTGACCATATTTTTAGCTATTTTGTTAGTATGTCTTCCATTTTATTGACTGAGCAAAAGAAACCACTCAATCACTATTTCAACTATCCAATAAAGTGATCAGAAACTGATAATTTGGCCAATTCCACACAAATTTCAAAATAGGGTCCAAAATAAACAATACAGGCATTCCTGAACTAAAATAACATTTCCTCTATTCATTAGTTACGTTTCCAGGCTTTACACATGAATTCCATTTTGATTTTATTGACACAAAGAATTTTTATTCATAAAAAAAAAAAAGATTTACTTTCATGCAATATTGTAATAATTGTACAAATAATATTAGCACATTCATGAACACACATCAGACCCACCAGCTGATGTGTATTGGACACATACATGATTTGTTTACTTTTGAACACTGGCAAAAATCAAACATTTCCTCTACTTTGAACTAAATTTCAAGCTATTTTCAGTCCTGAAACTAATGTAAAATCATGTCTATTTCTGTAGTACATCTTCCATTCTATCAAATGAGATTAAGAAACCAAAAATATAACCATAAAATACATTGCAAAGTTGCTGTTTTAAACAGGAGTTTTTTTTTTGCATTACGTACTTGCTGAAGGATCTCTTTATATGGTGCACACTTGCTGCATAGATCCATTCTCTCAAATCTAGGCCCAAATTTACCGCTCACTGCTTGTCTGAATGAGCTGAGCTCATGGCGTAGTACTATGGGACCGACACTATCTTCAAAGCCAAAGTACAATGGGACCGACTTTGAAAGTGTTACAACTATGTATGGAGACTACTTCCACAACTTCTTCACCAAAACTGTTCCACTTCCTGACCACTCTTCGTGACTGAAGAAACATTTCCTAACATCCCTGTGGCTCATTTGTGATTATGTATTGCTTATTTGTTGGGGGGGGATTGTCTTGTTGGCATTAATATCTGTGGTTCTGAGGCCACTGACTCTGCCTTCAATACAACAAGGCTTTGAAGTGATGGAATATTTCTGTAGTTTCTTGCCATTTTTTTCTGCTTCTTGGCACTAAAATATCTCCTGCTCCTGTATAGTTTTAACTACCATGGTTTGTTTCTCATGATTTGTGAGGCTTGTACCTCTTGATTCCTTTCAAATGGTATGCAGGGCAGTTTGTGTTACAGCACTGTTTCTCATATACTGAAGTATGAGACATTTCAGGGTGAAGGAGTTTGCAGAAGGTAGAATGACACATTCCTCTGGTCAATTAACCCTTTCACTGTTGAGACCCCTGCTTGCACTCATTTTATTCTATCGACTGAGTACAAGAATCTGCTCATTTACCTATTCCAACTGCCTAATAAAGTGATGAGAAATTGGTAATTCGGCCAATTTCATATTAAATTCAAGAAAGGCCAATTTCAAGATAGGGTCCAGAATTAACAATGCAAACATTTCAAGCACTAAAATGACATTTTCTCTGTTCATTAGTCCCGTCTCCAGGCCCCTCTCATATTCCGCTTGCTTTCCATTTTGAATTTTTATTCACACAAAAAATATAAGATTTACTGTTATGCAGACTACTGCATTATTTTATAAATGGTATAAATAATATCAGTACATTTGTGGAAACATATCAGACGCACTGGTTGACATGTACTGGATGCGACATGATTTGTTTACTCTTGAACATTGGCAAAAATCAAACATTCCTGCTACTTCAAGCTCAATTTCAAGGTACTTTTTGTCTATAAATCATTCAAAATTATCTCTTTTTCTGTCATATATCTTCCATTCTATCAAATCAGACCAAGAAAATGAGAATACAACCATAAATACTATACAGAAATACACTGCAAAGTCACTGTTTTAAACCAAAAACACGGTCGCAGTTTTTTTCTCATTATGTACTGCGTGCTGCAGGATGTTTTTTTAATACTGCACACACTGACCAATCAGACCCATTCTCTCGTATGTAGGCCTACCAGCTATCTCCCCCAAGATTGGAAGCTGCTAGAATTTTGGCATAGTATTACGGGACCAACACTGGCTTCAAAGCCGTAATATTATGGGACCGGCAGTGAAAGGGTTAAACCACACCAGAAGTTCTAGGGTTGCCCCAAGTGTGGCCTGACATGGGAAATCTAATGAGTACAATTTGTACAAAATTCAATGGCTGGTTTTTAATTTAGAGTTGAGTACCAAGAAAAAATAAAACAGGCACCTAGCCTGGTCTCTAAATTGGTTCATGCTACAGGCAATGAGTTGATCAACAGGCCAAGATAGGTTACTTCCCTTTCCCTGTTAGTTCCAAAGAGTATAAAAGGGGCACACTATATTGGGGTTGCCTGTACAAGGTACTTGAAGGCCAGGTCTTCAGTCTATATGCACTGCAGTAACAACTTACTGGAGTAAGAGATATAGGAGAAAGTACAAAATAACCCAATAAAAAGCATTAGTGCCAAAGGCACATGAGAACAATGTGTTAAAATCAGTGTTCCATACCTCTTCCATCTTTTACCAGTAGATACAAGAAATACTGCCAGAAAAAATGTATCTATATAACACTTCATAGTAGTAACTGGATTTGAATCTGCAATCTGGCAATTCTAGAGTTACCAGCCCATCGCACTTGTGTCCTTTACTGGGTTTATGTTCATTCACTGCATACCTATAAAAATTTAAAAGACACTTGAACCAGTTCCTGGATTCCAATACCTTTTTACCAACAACAGTGAAAAAAGAAACACACATTCCAAAGGAGATTTTTAAGGGGACACTGCTTCACTCTGTTTAGAGCTTTATCAAGTCTTGACTTGATAAAGCACTACACAGAGTGAAGCATTGTCCCAATAAGAGCTTATTTTGCAAGGTGTCTCTTTTCTTCACCAAACGAGTTTCTGCAGAATGTGACAGATCAGCCATGTGGTGTTGGCTGTGTAGGTCTGGATACCGCTAGCCACCAAAGCCTGGTTAATAAGGCATCCAACTGACATCAGGGTAAAAGAGCAGAACAACTCTTGATATCAGTTATACATATGCAAGTGAATATCACATAAAACATTGTTTTTAATTTACTTACCATGTAATTTTGCTTTGATGGCTTGGTAAGGCAATTCCCGGAAGAAATTAGGAAGTTCCTGTACTCTGTCTTGTGATGTAACAAAACAATCACCGTAGTCAACAAAAAGTCCAGTTACTATCCCATCCTGAACCATGGTTGTGCGTGCTCTGCAAATGGAATTGATCTATATTATTTAAATTTTCTTTAATTGGAAGTGATAAAAACAAAATTAGTATACGTGCATTATCCACTGTAGTACTTTCTTAAGACAATCAAACCTTGCTAAACCAACAATGAAAAGGAAACGTCTGTCTCTAAAAAAAAAAAAAAAAAAAAAGACATTTGTACCTAAAAATGACAACAAAAATTTATGGCATACATAAAAAACATATGTTATGGGACTCAAGGAAATCAATAAGCAAGATTTAAGTCCTGGAGGTGGGTAGAAGAGAGCCTGTAATCTTGAAGATGAATGGGAGATGTGGCTTAACCCGTAAACGGTCCTAGCAGATCTACATTCACACGCATAGTGCTCCAAAAGTAGATATACTTTTTTTACATATTTTTAAATATAATAATAATAAAAAAAAAATGTAGATCAAAGTTTTTTACACATTTTCAAATGTAAAAAAAAAAAAAAAATGATCTACTTTTTTTACATACTATCAAATGTTGAAAAAACGTATATATAAGTTTGGACCGTTTACGGGTTAAAGGAGTCCACATACTTCTGGCAAAAGAGCTATAATTTTAGTAGTCATGTGACTTGCACAGCTATGTCCACCATTTTGCTGGCCAAATATACTGTTTTCATTCAGTAGCCATCAAGTGTGATATAGGTACAATCAAAACTAGGTATGTGCCAAAGTATTGGTATCATCATTGGCAGGTATCAACAAATTTTTGTGGTATCTGTAAAAAAAAATAAATACTAGTAGATACTTTTAAAATACAGTAGGGCCCCGCTTTATGGCGTTCCGCTAATACGGACATAACAAATTATGACCAAAACTTGCTATACGGCTCCCCCCCACCTGACTTTCTAATATGGGTCACCATGCCCCACCCGGTTTTACATTTTCCGTGAGCTCCATAAGCACCATGTCTCTCCATTATGTCTGGAAACTCCAAAATTTCAAGTGTTTTTAAAAGTTATTTCATGTTTAATATATACTCTGATAATCATACTTAAGTATATTATTTTTATTTTTATTATTAACACCGACCGATTCCCACCAAGGTAGGGTGGCACAAAAAAGAAAAACTTTCCTCATCATTCACTCCATCACTGTCTTGCCAGAGGGGTGCTTTACACTACAGTTATAAAACTGCAACATTAACACCCCTCCTTCAGAGTGCAGGCACTGTACTTCCCATCTCCAGGACTCAAGTCCGGCCTGCCGGTTTCCCTGAATCCCTTCATAAATGTTACTTTGCTCACACTCCAACAGCATGTCAAGTATTAAAAACCATTTGTCTCCATTCACTCCTATCAAATACGCTCATGCACGCTTGCTGGAAGTCCGAGCCCCTTGCACACAAAACCTCCTTTACCCCTTCCCTCCAACCCTTCCTAGGCCGACCCCTACCCAGCCTTCCCTCCACTACAGATTTATACACTCTCAAAGTCATTCTGTTTTCTTCATTCTCTCTACATGTCCAAACCACCTTGCTTCCACAGACAAAGTTCTTTGTCTCCACAGACTCCTAAATGCACCACTCACCCTTTTCCCTTATCAATTCTGTGATTCACCTCATCCATCATAGACCCATCTGCTGACACGTCCACTCCTAAATATCTGAATACGTATATTCACCTCCTCCATACTCTCTCTCCCTCTGATCTGATATCCAGTCTCTCGTCACCTAATCTTTTTATCCTCATAACCTTACTCTTCCCTATATTCACTTTTAATTTTCTTCTTTTACATACCCTCAAATTCATCCATCAACCTCTGCAACTTTTCTTCAGAATCTCCCAAAAGCAGTGTCATCAGCAAAGAGCAACTGTGACAACTCCCACTTTGTGTTCGATTCTTTATCTTTTAACTCCACACCTCTTGCCATGATCCTAGTATTCACTTCTCTTACAACCCAATCTATAAATATATTGAACAACCACAGTGACATCACACATCCTTGTCTAAAGCCTACTTTTACTGGGACATAATCTCTCTCCTACACAATCTAACCTGAGCCTCACTATCCTCGTAAAAACTCTTCACTGCTATCAGTAACCTACCTCCTATACCATACACCTGCAACATCTGCCATATTGCCCCCCTATCCACCCTGTTATATGCCTTTTCTAAATCCATAAATGCCACAAAAACCTCTTTACCCTTATCTAAATACTGTTCACCTATATGTTTCACTGTAAACACTTAGTCTACACACCCCCTACTTTTCCTAAAGCCTCCTTGTTCATCTGCTATCCTACTCTCTATCTTACTCTTAATTCTTTCAATGAAAGAATTAAGAGTATACTCAAGACTTTTTTTTTTTTAACAAGTCGGCTGTCTCCCACCGAGGTAGGGTGACCCAAAAAAGAAAGAAATTCCCCAAAAAGAAAATACTTTCATCATCATTCAACACTTTCACCTCACTCACACATAATCACTGTTTTTGCAGAGGTGCTCAGGATACAACAGTTTAGAAGCATATACATATAAAGACACATAACATATCCCTCCAAACTGCCAATATCCCGAACCCCTCCTTTAAAGTGCAGGCATTGTAATTCCCATTTCCAGGACTCAAGTCCGGCTATATAAAAATAACCGGTTTCCCTGAATCCCTTCACTAAATATTACCCTGCTCACACTCCAACAGCTCGTCAGGTCCCAAATACCATTTGTCTCCATTCACTCCTACCTAACATGCTCATGCATGCTTGCTGGAAGCCCAAGCCCCTCGCCCACAAAACCTCCTTTACCCCCTCCCTCCAACCTTTTTGAGGACGACTCCTGCCCCGCCTTCCTTCCCCTACAGATTTATACGCTCTCCATGTCATTCTCTCTAAATGGCCAAACCACCTCAACAAACCCTCTTCAGCCCTCTGACTAATACTTTTATTAACTCCACACCTTCTCCTAATTTCCACACTTTGAATTTTCTGCATAATATTTACACCACACATTGCGTAAATATCGCTGACACATCAAAATTTGCGAGAGCATAATTTTGTCAATTTTCCATCAAATTTCGTACTTTTTGTTTTATTACCCTCAGAAAAAGATTCTCTACCATTTTATAAGAAAAAATAACAAAATTATTTTTTGAAAATTCTTGGACACTGGTGCACCCACCTTTTGAAATTTGGCCTCTGGACCCTGAGAGGGTTAATGCCAGGTTCTATTGCTAACTTAATATATGTTAGTGTAAATTTGTTATCTAGTATTTCTATGCATTTGTAATTGGAAAAAAGGGTGTTCCACATAAACCATACCATGGGCAGGGTTAGAACCCGTGATCAGAGAGTCTCAAAACTCCAGACCATTGCTTTAGCCACTGAGCCAGCTAGCCACAATAAGATTCATCCAGCTAGGTATATTTATACACCATAGGAAGGTTAGCATAGGCACCACTGTGACAAATCTCCAGCTAGCATGGCTGTGACGAACTCTAGCTCAAGTCCCCTACCTGTGGTATGGTTTGCTTGCAATCGTGTCATTATGATTTCGTGAGTCGTGTTCCACATTACGGTGATTTCTGCTTTATGGCGGAAGCCTGAAACCTAACCTGCCATATAAATGGGGCCCTACTGTATTAATATTACACATGTTTAAAAAATATTAAAATTAAGAATCTGCCATAGCACGAAAATTGCCTTAAAGTGAGTCAGCCTTTTATTTTCACTTTCAAATGCATGTAAAAGCCTGATAACATGTTTACATTATCATATACTCAGTGAATAAAGCTAGGCCTAAAAACAAAAACAAAATAAAATGCATATACAGTACACTCATTACTTACCTTAAAATATTTTCATCTTTAGCTTACAGTGAGTGGCAAGTGGTATTTACTGTAGGACATCTGAAGGAGAAGCACATATAAATGATGCTAAACTCATCTTAATATGAAGGGAAATACTGTAATATGTATTATTTTCATCCCCTCAAAAAAAAAGTGGTGATAAGTTGTGGTCATTTAATAAAATATCTGCCCCTTTATTCCCCCATTCATTGTTGAATGTTTATTATGAAAATTGTTTCATTCCATTCATTATTAATGCATGTCTTCAGTAAATAGGTAAATAACTTTAGGCTATTTGAGGAAAACACTGTGAAGCATATTACTTGGGAGCAAATATTTTTTTAATTTCTGAAAGCTAGTGAGGCTATTTGTGAGTAAAGGAATAAGAGGAACATTTTTCTAGTTATCCCCAGATAGAGACAGTTTCTTTGGTGTTAGTGGACTAGAGAAAGCTTCTTATTGTAATTCTTGTCATACACTTCTTTATGCTTACCTCGCTACCACAACTGTATTATGTTTTACAGTGGTACCTAAATATTTGAACTTAATCCATTCCAGGAGGCTGTTTGAATAGCGAGTTGTACAAATACTGAATCAATTTTTACCAAAAGAAATAACTTACATTGGTTTAATCTGTTCCAGACTCAAACAATTACCAATTATAAAACATTTTAAGTGAAAATATTGCTTATTTAAACCTGTATAACAACATTTGCATACATGAAATCATACATGAAAACTATAAAAACAATAAATACATGAATTAAATAAAAATTTAACTGCACTTCACCTTTACTGAGGAGTGCTGATGGCCTAAGAGGGAGGTGGAGAGATGTTATTGTTTGGAGAGGGTGTCACCTTCCATAAAAACATCGGGTAACTGCATGTCCAGTGTTTTTTCTGTTTTCTGTCTCTGTGAATAGCATTTGAAGATGATAGGGATTCACCAGCATTTTATTTTTTTCCTTTGCTAAAGAAGCTGTCCAATGTCGTCTGCTTTTGACGACTTTTCAAAATTTTTCTAAGGTGGTCAACAACATCGTCACTGAAAAAATTGATGCTCCTATTCACAACAGTAATGTTAGGATGCCATTTTTCCACTAGGCTCTATGTTTAAGCCTAATGGTAATACAGTTCCTTAATTTTTGCAGTGGAAATGTTGCCCTTACTGCTTCCCTCGTCTGAAATAAAAGAAATTTCCTAAACCACTTCCAAACCTGCTCCTTGTGCAAGTCTTGAAGTTCTTCTGTGGTGAGCTCATTCTTGTGATTCTCCACCAACTCCTCTACATCCTCATCATCCATTTCCAAACCCATGGACTAGCCTCAAGAAACAATATCCTTCACTACTGGCTCTGCCTCAAAGCCTTCAAAGTCTCTGACTGACACAGTCTGGCCACAATTTCTTCCAGGCAGAGTTCATTGCCTCATCTCTGTTAGCACTGACAGCCTCCCCATGCCTTACTACAATATGAATCCCACTCCTCTTTTTAGATCTATCAAACCAGCCCTTACTTGCCTTCAATTTATCACTTTCAGCACTGTTTCTCAGGGTGTCTCACCTAAGATCACTATATAACTGCTTTTCTTTCTCACAAATTTCCATTTCAGAAACACTATCCCCAGCCAATTGTTTTTTGTCAATCCACATAAACAAAAGTTTTTCCATTTCTCCAATTATCTGTGACCTTTTCACAACAAGAATTTTCACTCCTTTTGGCACATCAGCCCCTTCAGTGCCCTTTTATTTTTCAATATGGATGATATGTTGGATTTTGCCATACCATATTGAGTGGCCAGGTCTGACACACGTTCCACTTTCCCACCGAGTCCTTTTTCACTATATTTGTTGTGCCCGCTGCTTTCCTTTTAGGGTTGTCTGAATCATTACTATTTGGGGGGGGGAGATTACTTATTTTCAATGAAAATATTTAAAAAAAACACCAGAGAACAATGAAACACAAATAACTCTCCTTCTCTCCTTTCCGTTAGTGCGACTTTGTAAATGGTACAAGTCGGACCAAAACGTCATTGTAAGCGCCTCTCTTCTATGTGCTGGTTATTGGGTTATTTGTGTATCGTTCCAGTCATGGTATTGTGCCTTTTTTTGTTAATAACAATGAAATACTAAAAACTTTCACAGATCTTGTACGAATGATGCTTAATGGACAAAAGCTGATGAGAGGCTGAGCACAAGATGCTTTGTTTTCTTTGGATTTCATCCAGATGGACCATCTTGTTTAAGTTGAATATCAAGGCAATGTCCGAATACCGAGTCAAATTTTTATATATATATATATATATATATATATATATATATATATATATATAATATATATATATATAAAAAAAGAGGGGGGGGGGCACAAACATCAAGTTGCAAAAATATAGATGTACAGCCTCTTCTCACTTAATGATGGAGTTCTGTTCCTAAGACCATGTCGGTAAACGAATTCGTCGTTTGTCGCTAAGGAGCACACTACACCTACCATCCGACTTACGACCTGCCTGACTTACGACCGTGTTCTTTATGCCAAATTTCTGGGAAACAAACAACTATTTGTGTTGTACACAGTGTTTATCCTAAATATTTTATTTTTTATTATCACACTGGCCGATTCCCACCAAGGCAGGGTGGCCCAAAAAAGAAAAACTTTCACCATCATTCACTCCATCACTGTCTTTCCAGAAGGGTGCTTTACACTACAGTTTTTAAACTGCAACATTAACACCCCTCCTTCAGAGTGCAGGCACTGTACTTCCCATCTCCAGGACTCAAGTCCGGCCTGCCGGTTTTCCTGAATCCCTTCATAAATGTTACTTTGCTCACACTCCAACAGCACGTCAAATTATTAAAAAACCAAATTTGTCTCCATTCACTCCTATCAAACACGCTCACGCATGCCTGCTGGAAGTCCAAGCCCCTCGCACACAAAACCCCTTTACCCCCTCTCTCCCCAAACCTTTCCTAGGCCGACCCCTACCCCGCCTTCCTTCCACTACAGACTGATACACTCTTGAAGTCATTCTGTTTCGCTCCATTCTCTCTACATGTCCGAACCACCTCAACAACCTTCCTCAGCCCTGTGGACAACAGTTTGGTAATCCCGCACCTCCTCCTAACTTCCAAACTACGAATTCTCTGCATTATATTCACACCACACATTGCCCTCAGGGCATGACATCTCCACTGCCTCCAGCCTTCTCCTCGCTGCAACATTCATCACCCATGCTTCACACCCATATAAGAGCGTTGGTAAAACTATACTCTCATACATTCCCCTCTTTGCCTCCAAGGAACAAAGTTTCTTTGTCTCCACAGACTCCAAAAGTGCCACCACTCACTTTTTTTTCCCTCATCAATTCTATGATTCACCTCATCTTTCATAGACCCATCTGCTGACACGTCCACGCCCAAATTCTGAATCGTTTCACCCCTCCATACTCTCTCCCTCCAATCTGATATTCAATTTTTTCATCACCTAATCTTTTTGTTATCCTCATAACCTTACTCTTTCTGTATTCACCTTTAATTTTCTTCTTTTGCACACCCATACCAAATTCATCCACCAATTCTGCAACTTCTCTTCAGAATCTCCCAAGAGCACAGTGTCATCAGCAAAGAGCAGCTGTGACAACTCCCACTTTGTGTGTGATTCTTTATTTTTTAAAACTCCACGCCTCTTGCCAAGACCCTTGCATTTACTTCTCTTACAACCCCATCTATAAATATATTAAACAACCACGGTGGGCATCACACATCCTTGTCTAAGGCCTACTTTACTGGGAAAAAATTTCCTCTTTCCTACATACTCTAACTTGAGCCTCACTATCCTCGTAAAAACTCTTCACTGCTTTCAGTAACCTACCTCCTACACCATACACTTGCAACATCTGCCACATTGCCCCCCTATCCACCCTGTCATACCCTTTTCCAAATCCATAAAAGCCACAAAGACCTCTTTAGCCTTATCTAAATACTGTTCACTTTTTATGTTTTTACTGTAAACACCTGGTCCACACACCCCCTACCTTTCCTAAAGCCTCCTTGTTCATCTGCTATCCTATTTCCATCTTACTCTTAATTCTTTCAATTATAACTACCATTTCACTTTACCAGGTATACTCAACAGACTTATCCCCCTATAATTTTTTTCACTCTCTTTTATCCCTTTGCCTTTATACAAAAGGAACTATGCATGGGTCTCTGCCAATCCCCAGGTACCTACCCTCTTCCATACATTTATTAAATAATTGCCACCAACCACTCCAAAACTATATCCCCACCTGCTTTTAACATTTCTATCTTTATCCCATCAATCCCAGTGCCTTACCCCCTTTCATTTTACCTACGCCCACGAACTTCCCCCACACCACAAAAAGGCTCTTCCTCACTCCTACAAGATTTACCTCCTTTCCCCCAACACGAAATCACAGCTTCCCTATTTTTATCAAATTTA